CCTCAGGTCCGTCCGTAAAGCCGAAGAAGGCGCGCTTCAACGAGGCCAACAGAAGCAGCGGTGACGCAAGGGTTTAGTCCCACGGCAAAGTTGCTGTGACTATGCCCTGAAAACGTTACGATATATGTAAACCAAAGGGTAGACGAAGGGACGAACGACTAGACATCCAAGACAAACAGAAGACCAACAAAATTCATCACGTCTGGGTATCTCTATTAAGCGTTAGTATCGAGCATCGCGCAGAGTATTGGACGTCTTATGCATAGCACAGCTATTAAATATAGTTAAAATAGGTTCGCTTAGAGGGCTACAAATACGCTATAGGCCTACGCCTACGTCTAGTAGGTCTGGTAGAATGGAAAAATTCGACCTTACATTTTAATGATAATAAGCTTTGTTGAATATAAGGTATCCGTCGACACAGGCTGAAAATAACAAGGAACGATTGCTAGTACAGAAGGAATCAGACGTTCATCTAATTAGTAATCGATTCAAAGATCAATGTTTCAGATTTTTGGATAATGAGGTAATTACTGAATTAAGAGCTTTGCTTACGAAAAATGTAATGATTGGGAAGGCTTGAAGCGATCTATGGTATCAATATCATTATTGTTTTTTGATATCCAGCCATGCTAAGCAATCTGTAGCCAACTGATTGTTAAGAATATTTCGTTGGTCCTGAAAAATGAGTATATATTCTCTATTCTAGTTCAATATAGTATATTCATCCATTGGAGCCAAGGGGAACAGAGCAAAACGAAGCACGAGTTCATAGAGTCCTCTTATTTTAACTAGAACGTAAAAGCTACAACTTTCAGGAATTCTGTGTTGACATACAGGAAGACTTAATCGATTTCGCTCGGTTGCCATAGCGTCCGGAGGGGCAGTGAGGTTTTCCTTTTTCAAAAATACTACGTATGTTTAAAATTGACAATTCATTGTCACCTTAAAATGGACCGCCAGAAGAATGACTTCTTTTACAGTTCGAATTACTCATTCAGTAAAGATGCGTCTTCAATAAGCATACACAATTTAGAAATCTTCGATTTGGTTATGCCGAAATGGCTAAATGTGCACATTTATTACAACAGATTGCGTCTTTATTATAGATAGATAACAAAAAAAAAAAAACGTCAAAATCCAAAATCGTTTAATATTAGCATTATGATGTGGAGCTGAAGAAAATGTGTTGGCTGGTGTGGGTATCATAGGGCCGTCTCCAATCTAGATACGGGTAGCGCCATCAGCGGCAGATTTGCGCATTAATTCTAGCCCGCTTTAGGCTACAAGACGAGATCACTTGCTCGGCTAATTAGATAATAAATGCGACAGGTAAATATTTAAACAAATATCACCGATTGAGCGAATGACGTCTTCGGGGACACCAGAAAAGTTATTAGACTGTTTCTATTCAACGGAAATAGCAGCAACTGACAAATGACGGAATCAGTCAGCTGGAGAAATACAAT